CGGCCGATTTTACGACAGTCGCGCTTTACGGCACCTTTTACGACTGTCGCGCTTTACGGCCGATTTTACGACAGTCGCGCTTTACGGCCGATTTTACGACAGTCGCGCTTTACGGCACCTTTTACGACTGTCGCGCTTTACGGCAGTCTTTTACCACAGTCGCGCTTTACGGCACCTTTTACGACAGTCGCACTTCATGGCTGTCGCGGTTTACGGCAGCTTTCACGACAGTCGCGCTTTACGGCACCTTTTACGACAGTCGCACTTTACGGCACCTTTTACAACAGGTTTTTCTTGCCCATCTTGGGGTATTCCCTGTTTTTTTCTTGCCAGTCTTGGGGTTTTTTTCCTGGGTTTATTCCTGCCCATTTTTGCGGGTTTTTCGCTGAGTTTTTTTCTGGATTTTTCTTGCCCTTCTTGGTGGCTTTTTCCATTTTTTTTTTCCTTTTTTTTTTTCCTCTTGGTTTTTTCTAGGTTTTTTCTGGTCCATCTTGGGGTTTTTTCTGTGATTTCTCTGGGGTTTTGTTGATTTTTTCTTGCCCATCTTGGGGGTTTATTCCTGGGTTTTCCTTGCCCATCTTGGGGTTTTTATCTTGGTTTTTTTCTGGGTTTTTCTTTACCATCCTGGGTTTTTTTCCGGGAATTTTTCCGGTTTTTTTTTTTTCTTGCCCATCTTAGGGTTTTTTAGGTTTATTTTTCTGGGTTTGCTCTTGCCCAGCTTGAGGTTTTTTCCGGGGATTGTTCTGGGTTTTTTCTTAATTTTTTTCTTGCCCATCTTGAGATTTTTTCTTGGGTTTTTGTGGGGCTTTTTTGTTGCCCATCTTGGGGTTTTTTCTGGTTTTTTTTCTGGGTTTTTCATGCCCCTCTTTGGTTTTTTTATTGGGTTTTTTGGGTCTTTTCTAGCCTATCTTGGGGTATTTTTCTGGGTTTTTACTCGACCAGGACCAAGAAAAAAAACAAACAGCCAGAGTGGGCCAGGAAGGCGGCTGGGGATTTTTTATTCTTAATTTAACAATGACTTGCAAAACCTGAAAAGCAAAAGTCATATACACAAGGTTAAATCCATTCAGCATGCGCTCACACATGCAGAGACGAGCAGACACAGACAGACACAGCCACATGCTCTCACACACGCTCACACACTCCACTTACACACTCGCTGCGGCCCTTACCTGAGATGCTGAAGAACGTGCTTCGACACATCTTCTGGCTGCCCCTCCTTGACGTAAATGGTAGATTCTGGGGAAATCAGTAGCCTGGGGGACCTGTGAGACGACAGGAAGTGGTCAACGAGTGGCTATCTGACAGCCAGGACTTGTCCCCGCTCTGGACCAATAAATTTTCTACCCAAAATCCCACAAAATACAGACGAACAGTAAAATTTTTATAACTGCTCTACCTAACTATGATCAGAGCTGCCCTGCCCTGGCAGGTAGTCACAAGTGGTACAACGTAAGTACGCACAATATAAGCCAACGCATAAAGTTCAAGAGTACAGAGAGTGTAAGTACACACAAGATACACTGTATGTCAGCATGTCGCCTTAAGTACATACAGTATAAGCCAGCATAGGTATATACAGTAAAAGCCAGCATAGGTACATACAATGTGAGTACACACAGTACAAGCCAGCAAAGGTACATACAATATAGGTAGATACAACTTAAGCCAAGATAGGTACATACAATATAAACCAGGACTTGAGCTAACTCTCTGGAAGATGAATTATTGACCCCGGAACCCTTTGAGAAGATGGAACCTACAGAACTACTGCAGTCACGGGAGGAGGTGCATCAGAAAAAAAGGGCAAAAGTCAAAGGGTTGCAGAATAACTGAAGAGCTCCAAATATCCTGTGTCCATCTACAAATCCCATCTAGAGTCCAACTACACCCCACATTACAAATTACAAGACCCCGGGATTTCTCCTATTGCACCAGGCTATGCGGCAGGGCAGAGCAGCCCCGGCACAAATGTGTGCTGACACCCGTGACACAGGACAGACAGGACAGGACAAGCAAAGGGCACAAGACACAGACAGAAATCTCTTGGCAAGGAAAATGGCTGCAAGGACAGAGAATGCAAAAGGAGATGACTGAGCTGAGACCAATGGTGAGCTGATGAGGCTCAGAGAAACCTGGAGGAAGAAGATGCTAACTGAATGATTTATTCCAAGAACAGCAAAGATGGATGCCTAGGAATCATATGGTGAGAATCCTCTACCTAACCTCATATTATTACAAGTCCTAATCCACCATAATGGATCCAGGTGGGGGGCATAGCTGTCCATGCAGCTCAGAACAAGACCTGACAAGACATCTGACAGGATGCTTCCAAAGAGAGAACTTTTGACTCAGGAGCTCAGACAGGTATCAGAATCACATCTATGGCCTGGGTGCCAGGCCAAGGAATGCAGAGATCACAGATGCTAACAATGATGCCAAGGTTTCTGACAGGCCCCTCAAAGGCTAAGGTAAAAGACATGAGATATCCAAGCAACACATAATGCACAATAGACAAGTGACATGAGACACACCGGGACTGCTCTGCCCTGCTGCACACCTCAGCACTGTGACCAAAAGTGAGACTTTGCTTTTATGGGGCCTAAGGGGCCACTTCATGGACACCCCCACCTCCAAATTGGACTCAGAAACCCCTCCCAGTAATTCCCAAACCAGCACCCTGCTTTCATCCCCTCTGTGGGTCATGGCCCTCTACTTATCTCTCAGACATCTGGGGATGTCGGTCCCTATCAGGTGCAAAGAAAGGCCACCTCATCAGCTGGGAAGGTCCTGCTGTCACCGGGCTGGTGTCTCTCAGACAGCTGTATTAAAGAAAACCAAACATCAGTGCCTGATCTTGGCACCACATCACCCAAAACCCCACCAGTCTGCTACTCACCGTGCTCCTAGGAATGCCCGGCACCTGCTAACTCTGACCCTCTGCCATGGATGCAATGCATCTGCACCTGAAAGAAAGTTAGAACATATGTCAAACACCACCAGGATAACTTACAAGCTGCAAACACCTTATGTCAATCTAGGAATAGCATCTAGAGCCCAAGTACACCCAAATTACAAATTTCAACTCCCCAAGGCTCGGCCTATTGCAGCTGGCCATGCGGCAGGGCAGCACAGCTCCAGCACAAATATGTGCAGACACCCGTGACACAGAACGTGACAAACAGGGGGACATCAAACACCACACATCATGCTTGTGGTGAGGGCCTCAAGGGGAAAAGGCAAAAGGGACCCCAAAGACACACTAGGGAACACGGTACACCAGACAACACGACACAGACCAGAGCTGTTCTGCACTGCCCGCCTGAAAGCTGCCATCAAAAGTAGAGCCTCTCCCTTTAGCTGTCCTAACAGGCCCCTTGGGGAAGATTGCTTTTCCCGCTGGTAATTTTTAAATCTGGCCCAAGAACTCTCAACCTGCTACTCTCCCATCTCCAGGTCGTGGCCCCCAACTTATCTTTTGGATGATGGGTAATGTGGATCCACGTTGCACCTGAAATGAGAGTCTGCCTTGGAGGGCCTTGTGATGGCCTATTAGCCTCTCGGTCAGCTACAATAAAGAAAACCAAAACCAAAGTATGAGTTCAGAGTTATGTGGGCCAAATCCCAGCAAGTCAGCTACTTGCCCTCTCCTGAGTGTGCCTGGCTCCCTCAGGCTCCAGCTTCATCCTGATTCCAAGGCTGTGGCCTTTATTAGGGCTGGCACCTGGGTTAGAGAAAGGCAAAGTTAAATGGCATTCCTGTGAGTGCAGGGGATGACTCTGTGTGCTGTAAGACATGGGAATGCCTCTGCTAGGCTTCTGAGAAGTCTTGTGTGGTGGGCCCTCAAATAAACAAATAAACACCCTTTCTCACCCTGCTGCCTGCAAACCTTCCCCCACCCCCAATAACTCCTAACTGGATACCTGCTCACCCTCCCTCTCCCACTCACAATCCTCAACTCACCTGAAGCCTCAATCTCAAATATCATCTTGGACACTGGGCAGATCCCTCTTGTGACATGATGAATCTGCTGAAAAAATGTTGTGCTTGACACAACTTGGAATTTCAGGGAGTTGCACTCCTCAGAAACCAAAAAAACAACAAAAAAGAAGTCCAAAAAACACACAAAAAAACCAACAAAAAAATCCCACAAAACCCCCCCCAAAACAAATAAAAAACTCTAAAACCAAAAAAATCCCCAAAAATCCCCCCAAAAAACCCCAAAAATAAGACAAAACAAAAAGAAAATCAAAAACCCCCTAAAAAAACAAAAAACCCACAAAAAAAAAAGCACAGAGCAAAACCAAAAATTACAAAAGCACCTTACCACTCCTCAATATGCAATCCAAAATCACAAGCTTAAATCCTCCCTGTATTCCATGCTGTTTTCTTCACAGAATCTTCCAAGCCTCTGTTGCTTTAGATGCCCAGAAACACCTGCTGGAAACAAGCTGAGATAGCTGAAAGAGCCTCTCCACTGAAATGAGAGGAGAGCACTTACCCCAGCACATCCTGGAGAGGGAATGAAGCCCCTCAGCCAAGGCTGGGGTTAATATACCCCTGATTGTGCCCGCCTCTCGTTCCCATGGCACCCAGGAAAAGGGAGGGGGCAAATCCCACCAGGTATAAAAGCCCTCAGAGCAGCTGCAGCTGTTTGGCTCCTCTGACTCAAATTCAAGGGCAGTAAAGGGCTTGTTGTAGAAAAAAACTCTTCCGAAAAATAATAGCACTTTCTGTTTTGCAGCAACTACTTGGAGCAAAAGGGCAGAAAACTAGTAAGAAATAAAACTTTCTGTTCAGGTAGCATAGCTAGATAAATTGGGTAATTTGCTGTTAACTTACATAAATATTCCTTGGTGATTGCTAAGTAGTACATCAAGTAGTATATCAGTACTTAGTGTGACTAAGTCATGTGGAGAAGAATACCAATGATGTAAATAGTCTAAGTCTCCTTGGAACTCCTAATTAGGCCTATGGACATTATAAACAAAAATAAGAAAACAAAAAATCTCCTGGGCAGTGTAAGGGTTAAGTACATGCCAGGCTCACCCTTCTCTAAGATAGCTGGTCCAAAGGTAAAGAAAGAAGCACCCAGAAATGAATATTTAAATCCTTAAAATGCTGAAAAAGATAGAGCTTCCTTCAAGTGAACCCATAAAAATGAGAAACCAGGGCAGTTAGCTCCACTGAAACTGATAAAATGGCAAATAAACCAATTCTGCCCTTTAATTTATACTCTCAAAATATTGTGAAAAAAAAGGGTTCTCCTCAATTTAAATCCCTCCAGCAATGAAAAAAGAGAAATTTTTCCCTCAATCAAAACCCTTACCAATGAGGGACAGCTGGGGAAAGTTTGCAGGAGGCACTTAAGACTCACAATGCAGCCTGACTTCGCGGTGGTGGCAGCTTGGGTCTGGGAGACACCTGGCGCAATGCACAATTTTCAGCATGCAGCCAGCCACTCTGGGCCACAGGCCCCTGAACACCAGTGCTGGCCCTTTTCCCTGGCAAACAAAACTAACTGGCCCAGGTTCCTGATGGCAGATTGCAGGAGACACTTGGCACTGTCAAACCACCCCGAGCTGGCACAGGTGCCAGCTTGGGTCTGGGAAGCATCCTGTGTATTGCAGAATTTCAGGAGCCAGCTGGCCTCTCTGGGCCACAGGCCCCGAACGCCGGCCCTTTTCCTTTTGCCCCTAGCCCTCAGGCTCTGTCCGTCACCCTCAAGTTCTCCTTGTGCCCCTCAAGGCCCCTTCAGCTGCCTCTCAGCTCTTTGTGTGACCCTTAATCCCTCTCCTTTGCCCCTCAGCCCCCAGCTTCTCAGTGTCACCCTCCAGCTGCCCCTGCCACCCTCAGCATCTCTGTATGTCACCCACTGCCCCCTCTCCCTGCTCCTCCCTCAGCTCCCAGCCTCTGCCACCCTCAAGCCTTGGGGTAACTGCCTGGATCTGCTGGAAGGGTTCTGGGGCTTTCCCACCATGAGGGTACACCTGTACCCTAACCCTACCTGGTACTCAGTGTCCTTTGCACCCCTAACCCTTAAAATGCTGAAAAACTCAGAGCTTCCTTCAAGTGAACCCCTTAACACGAGGAAATGGCGCGGTTTTTCTTTGGAGCTTTGTTCCGTGCTCAGGTGCAACCGAGCACGTTTCAACCATTCTTCCTTGAGAGACCCCCCTGGGAATTCCCCCCTCAGCAGCTTAAGTGTGCCCAGGTAACCCCCAACAACAGCAGCAACCGCCGCCTCCGTAGCGGTCAGATGGGGGGTTAATCACGGCTTGGGGCGCGGGGAAAACGGCAGTGTGTTATTTCCGAGGAGAAGCGGCAGAGTTTTATTCCCAAGGAGAGGCGCGA